TTAATTTTCAAATTCGAGCTTCATGATATTTTCCTGGATAAAACTTTCCTTTAAGGGTTTAATTGAGAAATGAGAAAGGATTTTTTTTGTTTTTGGTTTCAACAAAAGAAGGGATTATCCTCTTATTTTCTACTCGGAAAGATTCATTAGGAAATGAGGATATATCTTTGGCTTAACTAGATTGAAAAATTTCTTCTATCATCTATTTTCATGCTTTGAAATTTGATAAAATTTTGAATGTTTTTGAATGAATTTTCCATTATAATTTCTTTATTGATAAAAATGTAATGTTAAATAATATTTTTCAAATGAAGAACTTTTAACTTAAAATTAGACAATGTAAAATTGCAAAGAAAGTAGGACTCGTTCTTTTATTTAAAGGTACGATTTAACAAAAACATATAGGAAAATGGTATTCAAAATATAATGAGAATTGTGAGACCAAACTTATAAATTATGAAATATACGAGTCTCTCTATAATTTTCGACCTCATTTAGTCTCTTCCTCATTTACATTAGCAATCGTATGGTTTGAGAGTATGTTTACATCGGGAGTATACGGACCATCATTAAAATTGATCTAACCTTTTCGATGAAGTTTAACGACTTCTTATTAAAAGTAGGATAATTATCGATATTATGCCTAGTAGCACAAAAATGATATTCACTTCTCTCATCTTGTTTGTACCATCAATGATAAGGAGGGCGCATCGAGTTAGTAGGAATTGGAGTGATTTTCCCAAGGTTTATTAAGTGATCAAACATTTCTCTTAATAAAAAAAGTAGAGGTGGTAATCACTCGGACTCCTTTTGTGATCTCAATTGTTTTGCTTGGTAATGGTTGTGTGCCATCTACAAGTTAAAAAAGTTAGTCAATTTTGGAAAGTCATAATAGCTTTGGGGAATTAATTTGCTTGATGTGTTTGATGGGTAAGTAGGGCGAGTTCTGCTAATTTGACGAATATGTTTATTTCATGATGATTATTAGAATGGGGGTATATTAGGTAGATTAAGGGCTTTGGAGATGGTTTTCATATTTTCATTGATTACTCTCTTGATTACCGAATTGGTAGGATTCGAGTCTTAATAGAAAGTATCTCATTTTCTATCCTCTTGGTGCCATCGTTTTTTTTTTTTTCAAAACCATCATGAACCTTTCCATCTTTGATCACTTGTTCTAACCTTTCGGTGGTGATGACAATACTGGTAAATTTGGAGGAGTTCCTAATCAAATACTTAAAATATGGTGTCTAGAAAGTATCCGGGAAAATAGTGATAAACTTTTGTTCAAGTAGTGGCGGATAAATCCGAGTTGCGACTCCACGCCACCTTTAAGCATACTCTTTGATCCTCTTTTTTATCCTTTCTCCATACCCTAAAGGTTAGATCGATTTATAGCTAACTCTTTATTGAACTAGTACTACTTAATGAAACCATCAACTAAGTCCTTCAACTTTCTAATCTTAGCTCATTCCGAGTCTCATATACCAACTTAATGCTTGATCCTCCTAAGGTTTAATGAAAGAAGTGTATCAATAACTTTTCATCATGTAGCACTTTAGTTATTTTGCTATAATAAACCCTTAAGTAGGTAATAGGTCATTGAGTTCTAGTATATTTAGTGAATTTTGGTACCCTAAACTTCTTTGGAATCACCACATCGGGTACCGTGTATATTTCAACAGACTCTTATAGGGTCATAGACATCAACTCCTTTTATAGCCCTCGGATGTTCTTCAATACCGGATAATTTATCCATATTCGGATCTTTCATCACCTTATATTTACATGCTTCCTCATTAGTGTGGTTTATAGTGTACACACCTCGCACTTGTGGAACTCATGGGTCTATTGTATAAGTAAATACCTTAGTAGGATAGGAGATCTCAACATAAAATGTCATTTCCCCATGGTTAATGGTCGGTATAGTGGACAACCCAAGTCGTAAGTCGAGTAACGAGAAAGCATATGACAGGTCATGCTAGGTTTGCCCTCGATTCGAACTATCGCCCCCACTTATAGCCTTGTCCAACAAGCCGGTCAATTGAGCGAGCATCCTCTTTTCTAGACTCAAACTCTCGCTAGTGAGTCTCTTCCAATCATGCTTTTACTTCCTTTTCCCTTTAGCGAGTCCCGAGTTAGGTGTAGTGGGTGTGAAGAGGGAGTTAAATTTTAGCAAAGCGATCTATAGTTCAATCCCTCAAAAAACCACTTACAACATATATATATATATATATATTTGAACTGGGTTTGATATGTTACTTTATCATTGTAGTCCTTAAATGATAACTCGCCAAAACAAAAGTTAGACTAGACAACATTACAAAGATAATTCATGTCTTAATGGGTCAATTCCAATGAATAGGATCTAGTTTTTCAATGGTTTAAGCAAATCTTGTCTAATCTTAAAGTCTTTTCAAGTTTTTGGACTATCTAGATTAACATTAGGATAATCCAGCCTCTAACCTTATGCACTAAGAGGTAAGGGAAGGTTATTACATCATTTTATATGCATATGGTGAGTTCCAATCCAAAGAATTTCATATACATATAGTGAATTCCAATCCAAATGAGAGTTTGAATAAGCATTAATAGAGTTTCTTCATACTTGCCTACGAATCTATCTATCTAAATTTTAATAGGATTTCAACTAGGGTCCGGAGCTTTTACATTCTTCCTTAATGGTGTGTGCAACAACAAAGTAGACATCAAACCCAATTCACAAAAATATGAAACAAATAACATTAATTAAAAGATTTGAAATAAGTACATAAATTAAACTACATAAAATAAATAACAACTTGAAAAATAAATGAAAGAAATAACTAAATGAGATAAACTTCAAAAAGACTAAACCTATTGTCTAACTCTAAATCTCCAATAGAGTTGTCATTCGTCGTTACTCGACTTTGGCAAGACTTTTCAAAATTAATTATTTTATATAACATTTGAATTATTTATGATTTATTTTGAGGATGCGAATTATTATGGATTTTGAGAGTCGACATATAGTATTGAAGGAATTACAAACCTAAAATAAGCATTGGTTTAGAAATTTTGAGGTAAGGAGTCAATTACTTTTTTGAGAAGCTATCGATCACCTAAAAGCGTCATTTACTAAGAAATGTATCATGTCTAGCTTAATCCTAAACTTTATCTCCTAAGATGTTTCATTCATGCAAAATTATTTTCAATTCGAACTTCAAGTTTTTTTTTTTTTTTAATTTTCTAGGCCAATTTAGGTTTTTTATTTTTATTTGTAGTATTATATTGAACCAATCATTGGACTCTTTCATAAGGAGACATGTTAGTTTAACATCGGATCCATTTTAAGTTTTGGCATAACCGATATATCGGAGGACAACCTATAATTATTAAAATGATTTTTTTTCTAACAACAATCCCTATTAGATAGGAGACTTTGTTAATTTTTCTTAATATTTTCTACTTTTTATTTATGTTTTTTTCTATTATTTCTTTCATTTTTTTCTACCTAAGGATCTTTTCCTATCTTTCTTTTTTTTTTTTTTGGCATTTTTCCTTATTTTATTTTTACTTTTATCTTTTTTTTTTTTTTTTTGCTTACCTATTATTTTTCCTTCTTTTTTTTTTTTTATCTCTATTTTTTACCTATTATTTTTTGTTGTTTTGATGCTTTTTTTTTTGTAATTTTTATTTCGATTCTTGATAGAAAATTATCATCGATCTCTACAAATTAGGAGATTTGACAATTTGTTCACCGATTAATTATCTATTCTAATTCTTAACCTAAAATCTAAATACTTAAACATTTCAATTAAATAAAAAAATAAATCAATCAATAATTCAAAGAAATTAAATTTAAGCTTAAACTAGACATAGAAGGCAAAAGCATATGTAAAAATAAAAAATAAAAATTCAGGCATGATTCCCTTGGAAAAAAGACTAAAAATGGGATTATTGGGCACTTTGGGCTTATTGGGGACAGACCCACTGGACTGGGCCTATTAGATTAAGCCCACTCGATTGGGCCTAATGGACTGGGCTGATCCCAACTGAGCTCTTTCTTTCCTATTTTCTTTTTCGGGCTGGGCTAGACCCACTCCTTTTTCTTTTTCGTTAATTTCCTTTCGGACTGGGTCAAGCCTACTCCAGCCCCTACTTCTTTTCTTTCTCCCCATTTTCTCTCTCTCTCTTTTTTTGCTCTCCTCTTCCTGGACCAAATCTGGACCAAATGTCCAGTCCTCCATATCTTCCACAGCTTCTCTTCAGTTACCAATAATCACCATCAAAGGAGTTTAAAAACTAACAACTAAATCAACCTCCAGTTCCCTATCACTGAGTATCTAACAATCCGACATCAAGCCATGGCAGTGACCACCATAGTCCCTTATCAAACCTTGAACCTAAGCATTAACATGAAAAATGGAATGAAGATGAGATTAAGATTACCTGAACGAAACCGAAAGAATGAAGGATGGGTTTTTGTGTTGTTGTTGATGATTTTACAGGTGGAATTGGACTGTGAAAAATGAACGAATGCTTGGGATTTGATGTTGTTGATTTCAGGACTCAGGAATGAGATTGTGGATTGAAATGAGCCATATCAACCCAGAAAGACTAGTGTTTCTTGCCCAGAATTTCAGAGTTTCGAAGCTGTAAAAAATAAAAAAAATAAAAAAAGAAGAAGAAAGGGGTGGGTTTGCAGGGATGATTGGTAGCCCGAAATGTTCTAGAAAACCCAGAAATTGAAACCCAGATATGTATGGAAACCCAGGCTGCCTTGAAACTTAAAAATGAAACCCAGAAGGTTCAAAAGAAGGAAGGTGCAGTATATTAAATTTCCAAATATGAATAGCTAGTTCTCACTTCTCACAATTTATTACACTTCCCTTGGTTAATTTATGGCGTTTGTGGAATTAAAAACAAGCAGTAAATACCAGAAGGGCTATCATATATGATGACATGATAAAATAAATGCGTTCTACACGTTCAAAAACTGGAGCAAGGCCAAATTCCAAATGGAACCTAATACTGGAGTGACATTTGATGATGTTGCTGGAATTGATGAAGCAAAGCAAGATTTTCAAGAAATTGTGGAATTCTTGAAAACTCCAGCGAAGTTTACTGCAGCAAGTGCAAAGATTCCTAAGGATGTTCTGTTAGTAGGGCCGCCAGGGACTGGAAAAACCTTGCTAGCAAAAGCAATAGCTGGAGAAGCTAAGGTTCCTTTCTTTTCTCTGTCAGGGTCAGAATTTATTGAGATGTTTGTTGGTTTAGGGGCTTCAAGAGTTAGGGACTTGTTCAACAAGGCTAAGGCGAACTCACCATGCTTAGTTTTTATCGATGAGATAGATTCTGTAGGGAGGCAGAGAGGAACACGAATTGGTGGAGGAAATGATGAGAGGGAACGGACACTGAATCAATTGCTAACCGAAATGGATAGTTTTAGTGGTAATAGTGGAGTGGTTGTAATTGCTGCTCCGAACCGACCTGAAATTCTTGATTCTGCTTTGCTTAGGCCAGGAAGATTTGATAGGCAGGTAAGCTATGTATTGTTTCTCTTTAATTACTTTGTTTCCAAATTTAAGATGTTCATGATTAGCATTTGAGAAACAGCATCAATTGAATTCAGAAAAAGTTTTGTTGTTGCTTCAAAATGTAGGTCACAGTTGGGCTCCCAGATGTGAGAGGAAGGGAAGAGATATTAAAAGTGCATAGCAAAACCAAGAAGCTGGACAAAGATATCTGTCTGAGCGTTATTACCATGAGGACCCCAGGATTCAGTGGTGCAGACTTCTGCAATTCTCGATGGTAGGAGAGGCAAAGTGAAGATCACTCTGAAAGAGATTGATGATTCAATCGACAGAAGTGTGGCAGGCATGGAGGGAACCAAGATGACTGATGGAAAGAGCAAAACATTCGTGGCTTACCATGAAGTTGGGCATCCTGTTTGCACGAAGTCATCGAAACAAGTTTTTTTTTTTTCATTGAGTAGTAAACTCCGATGGAAGATTTCCTTTCCTGTTTGTTTTAGCCCACTCTAGATGTGCACATTATATTCATTTGTAATCTTAGCTTCATACAAGTATGTTGGTGAGAAATCACACACAATATAAGCTTACTTATATGTTCTCTGTAACTTTGCCATATACAGGACATTGACCCCAGGACATGACCTGGTGCAGAAAGTCACTCTAATCCCCCGAGGGCAAGCTCGTGGTCTAACTTGGTTCACACCAGGTGAAGATCCTACTCTCATTTCCAAGCAACAACTATTTCCTAGGATAGTTGGAGGACTAGGAGGTAGAGCAGCAGAGGAAGTTACTTTTGGCGAATCAGAAATCACTACCGGTTCAGCAGGGGACCTGCAACAGATCACTCAAATTGCTAGACAGGTATGTTATAATATCAAACTCTAGTTCGAGCATTTCAGGATTTTAAAACGAAAACGAAAACGGAACTCCTCTAACTCGGATTGATAAATTCTTTTCCTGCAGATGGTAACGATGCTTGGCATGTCTGAGATCGGACCATGGGCTCTGACCGATCCAGCAGTTCAATGCAGTGATGTGGTGCTAAGGAAGCTAGCTAAAAATTCCATGTGAGAAACTCGCAGCGGATATTGATTCCTCAGTTCGAGACATAATTGAAAGAGCATATGAGATTGCAAAGGAACATATAAGGAGCAACAGGGATGCTATTGATAAACTAGTGGAGGTACTACTAGAGAAGGAAACCCTCTCCAGGGATGAGTTCAGGGCAATACTGTCAGAATTTGCTGATCTTCATGTTGATGAAATAGATAGAACCCCTGTAAGGGAATTGATTAATGCCTAGGTAACTCCATAGATTGCATAGAACCTGAGACATAATTACTGTAAGACTTTCAGTCTCAATTTCGTTAAGAAGTTTAGTTAGGGAAACAGATAGAGAGGAAGTGTAAGGCCTGTATTCAGAATGTGCATGCCACTGACCTCTTGTCCTGACTCCTGATAGTAGCATATTCCATTGCCAAGCAAACAAATGTGCACTGTCATCCAGTAAGAAATAATAAATGGCCTTACCGTGTGGCTAAATGAAGATAAATGGTAAAAAGTTAGATGATTTTTATTTCGTAAATGGATCCAATTGTTTATTCAATAATTTTCACATAATATGCTGGAAATTTTTGCGACGCTCAGCAATTGAGAACTTTTAACAAATTATAGGTCAATATAGGATATAGGTACATTTCTTAGACTTCGTTATCTTTCCAAGAATTTTACCAGATTTTTACCTAAATGTTCAAGTACAATACTCGAGTATCTACACAAATTAACAAAAGAAAAAAAAATGAAAGAAGTTAAGAGTTGTAACATAGAGGCCTTCAAAGTAAGGAGAGAGATCGGTTAAAATTGATGTGTGAAATTCAAGTTCTGACTACTTAACCATGTGATATATTATCAATAAAACTAAAATAAAATATTATTTTAATATTTATTTATTATTTAAAATATTATTTATATATTCATAAATCATTATTTACACAATCACAAATCATTATTTTTTTCACTATTCATATTATTTTTATAACACTTTGATTCTCAATTTTTTTTATTTTTTTTTAATTTCAAATTTTAATTATATTGTGATTTGGTCTCATTTTGTTTTAGTCTTTTTTATTAATTATTTTTATTATTTAAAATTTATTACTTTAATCTATCATTTTTTTCTTTATTAATTATGCTCATGAAGGTATTCATCGTTTAGATATAATCAAACAAATTTTTTTTCCTATATTACTTGGTATAAAAAATGTAACAAATCTTTTCCCATTAAGTCAATATATTTATATGTCTATTTCAAAATCAAATAAACATAGAATACTACAAGACATTAGTGTTTAATTCAAACTCAATTGTTTACCATAAAGGCTTTAATAAGACACCAATATTTTAATATATATTTGTGTTTTTTTATTGTAATAATAGAAATTAATTTTCTATATTTTAGTCCTAGATTAACTTGTGTAACAATAGAAATTAATTTTTATTTTTATTTTTAAATGATTTAAAAGATACATTTTTAGATGAATTGGATATACAAAAAATAATTTAATAAATTTTCTATATTTTAGTCCTAAAATTTGAATTCACCAATAGGGATGGCAATGGGGCAGAGTGGGGGCGGGGATAGCCATCCCCATCCCTGCCTCATCTCGTGCTTCATTTGGAGAGAAATTTTGAATACCATCCTCGTCTCAAGCGGAGTAGAATTGAGCTCCGTCAAATTATCATTTCTAAAGATAAAATGACAAGATGGAGATGAAAATAACCATCATCGTTCTCGCTTCGTCTCAAGAAATTTCATCCCATCCCTATCTTGTGTTCCGTTCGAGATCAAATTTTGAATATAATCCCCCAAACGGGGCGAGGTGGGACGGATTCCGATGGAAGGGGGCAAAATTGCCATCCCCAATCACCAACCAAACCTAGTTATTTATGCATGTGTGTAGAGAAGTCAAAAACCCAAAATTTAAACTATGCATGCATGGTTCGACTTCCAGTCCCAAGAACCGTTAACAGCAATTCAAAATTCCTGTCCAAAAAGAACCAATGCCTCTCTCTACTAAAATTCTCCTCTTCAATCAAACATGTCTCTCAAATTCATGCCCAAATCCAAGTCTCTGGTCTCCAACAAGACACCAATCTTTTAACAGAACTCATTAGATTCTGTTCCTTATCTCCCTCAAAAATCCTCAGTTATGCCCAGTCCCTTCTCTACCATTCACTTGTCTCACTGCCCTCCTCTTGGAATTTCCTCATTAAAGTTTATGCCTCGAGTGATACACCGAAAAATGCCATACGGGTCTTTCATAGAATGCGAAAAGAAGGTGTTGGACCTAATAACCTTACCTTCCCTTTTGTTTTTAAGGCCTGTGCTACTTGTTTGGCACTTGAAGAAGGAAAACAAGTACATGCAGATATTTTTAAGTTCGGTTTAGATTGTGATGTTTATGTTAACAACAATTTGGTTCACTTTTATGGATCTTGCAAGAAAGTTTTAGATGCATGTAAGGTGTTTGATGAAATTCCTGAAAGGACTGTTGTTTCGTGGAATTCGGTGATTACTACTTGTGTTGAAAATTTATGGTTAGGAGATGCAATTGGGTATTTGGTCAAAATGAGGGATGTTGGGTTTGAACCTGATGAGACGACAATGGTTATTGTGCTTTCACTCTGCACACAAACGGGGAACTTGAGCTTAGGAAGATGTATTCATTCTCAAGTGATCGGAAGGGGAATGGTATTGAACTGTAAATTGGGTACTGCCCTTGTTGACATGTATGCGAAAAGCGGAGATCTTGGTTATGCTAAGCTAGTTTTTGATAGAATGGAAGAGAAGAATGTTTGGACTTGGAGTGCAATGATTTTGGGACTAGCTCAACATGGATTTGCCAAAGAAGGACTCGAACTTTTTCTCAAGATGAGAGAGAGTTCTTCTATACTCCCGAATTACGTCACATTCCTTGGGGTTCTCTGTGCTTGCAGTCATGCTGGTTTGGTTGATGATGGGTTTCGGTATTTTCATGAAATGGAACACAAGCATGGAATTAGACCAATGGTCATACATTATGGTGCCATGGTTGATATCTTGTGTCGTGCTGGGCATCTGAAAGAGGCTTATAACTTTATTGTAAATGTGCCTTTCCAGCTTGATCCCATTTTGTGGAGGACATTGCTCAGTGCATGCAGTGTTCACAATGTTAGTGACAATGATGGGTTAGTAGATAAGGTAAGAAAGAAGTTGCTTGAACTAGAGCCCAGGAGGAGTGGGAACTTTGTGATGGTTGCAAACATGTATGCTGATGCTGGGATGTGGGAAAAGGCAGCAAATGTGCGGAGGACTATGAGAGACGGTGGTTTGAAGAAGATGGGTGGAGAGAGTTGCATTGCATTAAAGGGGTCAATCCATCAGTTCTTTTCTGGCTGTTTTTCACAAGATGATCATGAAAGTATCAAAAGGTTGCTAGGTGGACTGAACTTACACATGAAAATGGTAAACATCCCGTAATCAGTATTGCTTGTCATGCCCTTTATTTTGTTGGAGGATTTTGGGTTGGGACCTTCACTAGCACTTCCATGTGAAATTTTCATTCATCATTATATATTTTAGTACTATTTATTTGTTTCCATACATTTCCCTTTCATTTGTTGAGTGCTAAGGTTTTGATTTTGGCAATATGTTTTCCTGTTTAACTGCCCTTTCACTAGAGAGAAGATTGGAAAACTTGATTATATTTGTCATGGTTTCCGAATAGCTTTACGTGAAAAAAAGGTTGTAAAAAACAATCTCAAGTCGAAGATTTGTCGAACACCTTTTAAAACTTTTTACCCATAAATTCTTTGTCTGCGCTTTATCATAAAATTCACTGTATAAACTTTAGTCAACCAATTTAAGATAATATTTTTGGTGTGAGTGTAAGTCAAGATATTTGTCCGTTACGCATCCATCAAAACAGAAGTAGCTTGGAAAAGTAGTGATTATTCCACTAGAAGTAAAGAAAATAAGCTGGGCTGCCCAAAAGACACAGATTGAAACTCCAGAAATGAAAATCCTACTAGTAAAAGGATTAGTTGAAAATTTTGGAACTAGCTAGTCTCTCCTTTTTGTTGTTGTTGTTTTTTTTTTTTTTTGCTTGACTGAAGAAGTCATCATCCAATCAACAAATACAAAAACTAAGACAAGGCTCTTGAATGCCTTCAATGAAAAGAGTGGTTGCAAAATAGATAGGTCAGCAAGTCCTAAAATCCAAGTTGCCGGGTCTCCTTTTTACCAAATATTTTTGTTGTTTAGTTAGCTCTAAAGGTGATGTGGAAGAGATAATTCCAGTCCACTTCTAGCCGCCTTTTGCTGCTAACACAGATGTGTTGATTCAGGAATTCTCTTCCCATTTGTTTTTCAATTATATTCCACTTCCAAAACAAGGGAATGATGAAAATAAAAAAATAAATAGAACAAAAAAGGGGTTGCCAGTCAAGGCCAACCAAACAAGTACAAAGAAGCAGGTTAACAACCTGTTCACGCTATCAACATTCATAGATTAAATACTAGCGTTAAAGAATAAAGATGTTTTATTAAATAGCTTTATATCCCAAATTTTATTATTGCTAATTTTTTTCTTAATTTGAAAGTATATCTTTTGAAAAGAACAATAACAAACATGTTTATTTTCAGTGTTACGCAAGTAGCAATTGGTATGATTAGAAGGCAGATAATGAATCCGCTTATTGTACATCCTCAATAGCGATATATTTGTTAAAGTTCGCAGCATCCTCACAACAAAATTATAGACTCTTAAGAACATTAAACTTGAGTAACTGGGAATTTCATACAATATCGAAACAGCAATATTTGCTTTCATTACCTAGGAGAAACATGCTTAGATGTATCTAGCTAGTTATTACAGGTGCCCAATTATCTGCAAGAGAGAGGTGTAAGTACCAAATATAACGACTGCAATACCCAGTAGCACTACACTCACTAATACCAGCATTTCAAATCCGAATCTTCGATAAGTTCCTGAAATCTTCATGTAGCATAAACATGGAAGTACGATAGAAGCTGTCATACTTAAAAACGCTCCGACCAGCGACATAAGATCACCGAAGAAGGGAAGAGAGAGGGCTACAGTGACATTGCTGATCACAAAAGCTGTACTGATGAAGAGGCTAAATGGCCTTTTATTGCGGTTCAGTGGAAACCAACTTTTTGTAACATTCACTATTGGAGTAACCATCAGCGCGTATTTGGCTATTGGATTGACCAGTGTGGTGTATATTGCCACTCTTGAGCTAAACTTATCAGTTGGAAGGCTTAAGGTTATTTGTGACTGAACCTTTGATCCGAACATTAAGTAACCCAGAACTGCCATTGATGCGTAGCATAAGGTACATAGAATAAAACACAGAATCAGAACCTGCAATTAAATGAAGTCAAGTAATTCAGTAACATCAAACAATCGAAGCACTTGTTTGAACCATTCAAATAAAAAGTACTGGACTTTAACTTCAAAGTATCTTAAGTCATGTAAACAGAGATATCATGTACAGATTCAGTTAATTTCTTTGAGGAAGTAGAATATTAGCAAATTCGCTCATGATGGCTACTCACGTTAGAGAACTGATACTTGTTTTTCATAGAAGTGTACAGGGTAGGGAAGACTGGATGAGCACAGTAACAGAAAGCATACAAGCTTACTGCAGTGGGGATTCCATTCCAATTTATCAGAGTTCCCTTTTCATTAAACCCAATTCCATCGATAGCACCAGTCCAAAAAATTGAGACAAGAATGATAGCAGAAGCTAAAACCCCACTGGCCGAGACATAAGAAAGAATGCTCATGTTATCCAACCAAACCGTAGGCAAAATAACAAGGGCCACAATTATCACAAAGCTTTGTCTTGCACCTAATTCAAACCCTGCCACTTCAAGCCCCATGTTAGGAAATAAATTTTGTAAATTATCCCCTTCAAGAATCAGGAATCCTGCTGCAACCATGTAAAGTTCTATATACATGACAACTGATACCAAAAGTCTTCCCTTGTTCCCAAAAGCCCGCTCACCTATATCAGGATAAGTTCTGATATTTGAATCCACATCCATACATCTTTGGATCAGTAAGCCCGAATAAAAGGCTGCAATGGAGATAACAAAGAGGAGAATCAAGCTCAACCATCCTCCAGACATTAGTGCATAGGGGATTGAAAGGATTCCTACCCCTGAAAAGTTAAACACAGAGAAAATTAATTTTCTAGATTCTCTTCAATTTCGAATGTATATAGAACCACGCTACTTGCTTGAGTAGTTTTGGCTCCAGCGAAACAAAACGAAAGTATAGAACGAGGAGTTTGAAGGCTACAGCACAAGCGGCAAATTTATTGAAGAGTGAAACCTGACAAAGCATTTAGTTCGTGGAAAACAGTCTTGAAGGTAGAGGTGGTGCCTGTAGTTGGATGACGGTAATTTGTCTCCACATCTCCAAGTTTGCATCCTAGCCTTTGTTTCTCCTCGTCAGCAATGAGAGGCACAGTCAACGATGATTCATCAGGAGCAATGTTGTCCATGGTGCAGACTGCGCAGAGAGAGGAGGGCTAGCCAGAGGTTAAAATGTGACGCTTGAGAAGAGATAAGAGAGAGCACCCTAAGATGATTTTTTTTATTTCTTTCTATCTATTAATTTATGATTTGCCTGCTACTTTTTAGCTTCAACTTCAAGAACAGTTCAGCTACTAACACGTGCCTCACTTGGAATAGTTCTTTCATTTTCCAATTCTCAGTGCCTCATAACTTCCATGGTTGCTCTTATGTGTATAAAGGCCGCTTATAATGACAATTCCAAACAGTTCTCAAATCTTCACTTTAGGATAGCTGGAAACTTTTCCGTCATTAGTGAAATCTTTAAATAATTTTTTTCTTATGATAATCATGTAAACGAGGAATAAGAAAAAGTAATGAAAAGCACGTGAGGAGTTCGTCCGTGTGGTAGAATGGAAAAACTTTCTTAAAACAATTCTGAAAGGGCCGTTTATTTTGGGCTCCGTTCAATAGCCCATACCTGCAAAGGAGCTATCAAAAGGTGCTGATCCTACTTACATACGTACGTATTAGAGAATATCATGTCTCTAGGGGTTGGTTCAGGTGCTATCAAGATTATTCATTCATCCTCGCATCTCATATTCGAGTGTTGTTATTAACCTCTTCAAGACATGATATATCTTCATCCAATTAGTCCATTTACAGTTTTAAATTTTGAATCTGACATAGATATAATTAATCACTAAGGTTTATATATATATATATATATATATTATCTTCTCATGCTATTCTCAATTTTTCTTGGGTTTGGAAGTGGATGTTCAAATAGACTTAATATATACATATATATACACATACTTGCTACGTGTTACCTTGAACTTCCAAGAAAAGTTCAGCTACCGGCATTTGCTACTCTCTTTTTCGCAATTCAAAATTGAGAATAACAAGAGAAGATTATAGAGCAATCAAAATAAATAAATAAAATAGTTTAGAAAAATCAAAGGAGATTATTACGTTGCACCATACTAATATGTTGGCGTGCTTTTAAGATCATCTAAAAAAGAATCCATATATATTTTATGAGTTGCTTGCTACTTGTTACCTTGAACTTCCAAGAAAAGTTCAGCTACCGGCCGGCATTTGCCTCTCTAAGAATAGTACTAGTCGTCCATCATGCTGATGCTTGTGTCCTTAGTTGCTCTTATTTAAAGATTTGATGAAGGGATATATGTCCATCGTCATTCATGAAATCTTTAAATGATTTCAATGATTTTTTTCCCTTTAATCTTACATTTACAAGCAACTGGATACAAAAAAATAAGAAATAACGTAGAGAGAAAGATGATCATTTTATAGATTATTTTAGTGCTTAGTTCTATCTTCAAAAAATAAATTAGCCTATTACATTTGGTTGTGAAGAGAAAAATGAGTTCAAAAACATATCTGCTTTTGGTGTATACTGAACAATCAATTACATGAGTTAAGGATAGTTTGTTATCTGCATGTGAACAAGGCACTTCCGGCTGTTGGATAAGTTTGAAAATCCCCGTCAATGATGTTTATATATGTCTGGAAAATGCATGCTCATATCCTCTCATTCCAATTAAATTAAATTAACTTAAAGAGTAATTGCGAATTGCATATAATTCGAAAATAAAATTTGCTTTCGTTACCATGAATGGAAAATATACATACAGCATAATCAGGTATATCTAGTTATTTCAAGTGGTTTATTATCTCCAAGAGAGAGCTGTAAGTACCAAATATCACAACAGCAACACCAAGTAGCACTACACTCCCTAATACCACCATTTCAAATCCGAATCTCTGGTAAGTTCCTGAAATCTTCAAGTAACATAAGCATGGAAGTATAATAGAAGCCGTCATACTTAAAAACGCTCCGACCAGCGACATGAGGTCACCAAAGAAAGGGAGAGAGGGGCTACAATGACACTGCTGATCACTAAAGCAGTACTGGTCAAGAAGCTAAATGCCTTTTTATTGCAGTTCATTGGAAGCCAACTTTTGGTAGCATTCACTATTGGCATCACCATCAGGGCGAATTTTGATATGGGATTGACCAGTGTAGTGTATATTGCCAGTCTTGAGCTAAACTTGTTGGTTGGAAGGTTTAATGTTATCTGTGACTGGACGTTTGATCCAAACATTAGGTAACCCAGAATCGCCATTGATGCGTAGCCAAAGGTGCACAAAATATAGCAAAGAATCATCACCTGCAATAAAAAAAAGGACTGGACTTTAGCTTCAATAAACCTCAACCACGTAAAATTGTAAACATACAAGAAAAATCGTTACAGGTACTTACGTTGGAGAACTGATGCTTATTTTTCATAGAAGTGTAAAGGGTGGGGAAGACTGGATGTGCACAATAACAGAAGGCATACAAACTTACTGCTGTAGGGATTCCATGCCAATTTACTAGCGTTCCCTTTTCCTCAAATCCAACTCCATCAAATGCACCAGTCCAAAAAATGGAGAAAAGAATGATAGCAGAAGCTAAAACCCCACTGGCAGAGATATAAGAAAGAATGCTTATGTTATCCAACCAAACCGTAGGCAAAATAAGAAGGGCCACAATTATAACAAAACTTTGTCTTACACCTATTTCAAACCCTGCCACTTCAAGTCCCATGTTAGGAAATAAATTCTGTAAATTATCCCCTTCAAGAACGAGAAATCCTGTTGCAACTAAGTAGAGTTCTGTATACATGACAACTGATACCAAGAGTCTTCCCTTGTTACCAAAAGCACGCTCGCCTATATCAGGATAAGTTCTGATATTGGAATCCACATCCATACATCTTTGGATCAATAAGCCTGTGTAAAAGGCTGCACTAGAGATAACAAAGAGGAGGATCAAGCTCAACCATCCTCCAGATGATAGTGCGTATGGAATTGAAAGGTTCCCAACTCCTGAGCAGTCAAACAGAGAACAAAATTAGTTTTCAGAATTTCTCTTGAATTTAAAATACACCTAGCTAGTTAACTACAACACTAGCAGCATAGATAATGAAGAGCAGAACCTGACAAAGCATTTAGTCCGTGGAAAACAGTCTTGAAAGAAGATGTGGTGCCTGTACTTGTATAACTGGAATTTGACTCCACATCTCCCAGTTTATATCCTAGCCCGTGTTGCTCCTTATCAACAAGGAGAGGCACAGCCAACGATGATTCATCATGAGACATGGTGTCCATATTGCAGACTGCTGAGAAAATCAGCTAGAGGTTAGAATCTGCTTGAGGTGTTTTTTTTTTTTTTTTCCGAAGAAAAGTTTAGCTACCAACAGGTGTTACTTAATGTAAGTTGGACCTCCCAAGAAATAAATATTTTCTCGTTGCAAGTCTTAATTGCTCTGAACTTAAAAGGCTGGTCTTGCATAGATATATATATAGGCGTTCAAAAGCATTTTAAATGTGTCCAAATGAAATCCTTGAAACACATGAACCATATCCCTCTACAGTTCTGTAGCATGTAAAACATTGAGTGACCTTTCTTTTCCTTGTCCTTTGAATAAGACATTTTGTGACAGAGGTTTCCGTGTAGCCAGTGGATGCTGCTGAAAATTCTTACTTTTGACATGATTTTCAACGCGGATTACTATTATCTAATTGTCAATAGCATGCAAGTACGTATACCTTGTTCCTTCACACCCTAAACGACACCGAACCAGTCAATATAAGTTGCCTAGGCATCAGACTGAAACTGAATCCAACTGAAACTTTGCTAGCGAAGCAGAAATGTAAACCAATTAAATTTTTACATGTTTCCGTCCGTAGACTTCATCGCCTACGCCGCTACGCTGAGACATGCCTTATCATTTTTCACAATAATACTGTCAACCGTTGTTTTTCACTAAACTACACTAAGACATTAATTTCATGGTTGCGAAATGTTATCCCAGTTATTTTCGTAGGATACATAGATGAGAGGGGACCAATATTACTACGTATAATATCATTACATTTGGTTTAATGTCTTAAATGTTTTTGCCAGGTAGTAGGAATATGACACGTGAACTTTATGCATAGCCATGCTTTTTTTTCTTTTTTCTTTTTTATCATAAGAAGAGCCACAGCTGTAGACAAAGAATTAGCTATTTCAGAATGTCGAAAAAGCTATTTCCCATATATTTTTTTGGAGGAGTTTGATACAATCACCCAATATATGAGGAAAATACATGATACTGAAGGATAAGAAAAAAGCATAAGAAACTAGCATATCCATTAATTTATTCGTTTTTTTTAAAATAAACATGAGTAAGTTATACCTACGAATCTTATATATGTCAATCTTTATTCAGAATTGTCATGCTTTTAATAATGGAATTGGAGTAGCGACAATTTATTATCCTTCAAACGCTCAAATTAGCACTCTTTTTACCTAGTAGGTTATATATCACAGCTAACGTGAACCAATGACAAAATTATTATCCTTAAATTTAAATTGTTTGGATCAGCAGAATTAGTACCTGGCCGGAAGTTCAATAATCAACAAGCTTTAAGAATAGGTGTAGTCCAAGATTCCCCATTTTACTAAAGCTAACAGTGACGATTCCATGCATGTAACAAAAGAGGCCCTAAACGGCAATCACCTACAGTCTCGTGTCCATGAACCCTAGATTCAATGTTTGCCCATGTTTTCTTTAAGTCATTAGAAAATCAACTACTTACTTTCTTGAACGGGTAGACCATCAAAAGCCATAGACAAAGTATATTAATTAGTCAGAGAAGAGAAAAAGAAACAGCTATTACAGTACAGCCAAAATTAGACAGATAACTCGCTGTCACCGTTGTTTTACCTCCATTACTTGGATGGAACAGTTTTTGTTTTTACTTACAGAATTTAATACTGGTGTCAGGCTACCATGCATTCCCAGTAATATCGATTTGACAATGCAGTCGCTCGTCAGTGGGGACCAAATTAATTTTTTCTTTTTTCTTTTTTTATAAAAAAACAATGAGATTGCTAAAATTCAAATCATTCTTCAGAATTTTCTAACGTCTTCAAAAATTTTTAATCATTAAATACTTGAGTAAGTAATATTCAATGGAAGTGATCAACTGAGAAGGTGATCAATCGAAAGTTGTCAAAAGATATGATCAAAGGAGGTGGTTAAATGTTATGACTTTTAATTAATTTTAAATATTTTAAATGAAGATATTAAGTTTACTTATAAATATGATTATTATATTTGTAATGTATGTAGGAAAGATTACAGAGAATAAGAGAGACAAACAGAGAGCAAGAGTGCAATAGCTATATACTATCAATAGCTAGGAGGAGAGAAATAGAATCAATTTATTGATAAAAGATATTTTACATGAGGTTTTTCTTGTAATCAATATATATCAATATATTGTTGTTTGAGCTTTGCTTTGTGAGCCTATTATGCTTCTAACAAGTGGTATTAGAGTTAGATTTGTGTCTAAGTTTCAAGCGAGGAGATGACTCATATGATTCGGTCTCGGATTTCGAAATTAACAAAGACGAATTATGAAAATTAGAGCATCTAGATGAAAGTTCTACTCGGTTCATAAGATTTATGAGAGATTGTTAAAGAAGGCTATAATGAGCACCGAAGATGCTACTATCAAAGCATATTTGACAAATGTGTAGGAGACAACACTTAAAGAATAACATAAAAAAGGATAAGAAAGCCTTATTTTTCATTTTTCAAGGAGTTAATGAATCAACCTTTGAGAAAATATCCAACGTGAAGACATCAAAAGAGGCATGAGAGATTTTACATAAATCTCTTCAAGGAGTGGAAAAAGCTAAAAAGGTACTTGTTCCAATCACTCGGAAGCTGACTTTGACACATTAAAAATATATAATTTTGAACAGATTAATGATTATGTCACTTTTTTAAAAGCGATGGCAAATGATATGAAAAGAAATGGAGCTCTTAATTATGTCGGGGTGATGGAAAAACTCCTACATTCATTGATAAGAAAATTTTTAATTATGTCATTGCTGCTTATTGAAGAAACAAAAGGATTTGTCACAAATTTCAATTGATGTACTTATTGGTTCTCTTCAAGCTTGAGAGCAAAGAATGAACCGGAATGAAAATATTGATAATCTAGAGCAAGTTTTGTAAAGCAAGTTATATATTTGTGATAATTAAACTAGGGGTAGATATAGATGAGCGAGAGGAAATTGAGGTAGCTATAGAGGTGGCTATAGAGATAGACGTGGTGGACGAAGACGTGGCGAAACTCTTTTGAAAAAGGCAAAACAAATGAAAGCTATATATCAAATATATGGTTGTGGTTGAGGATCTAGAAACAAATGAAAAGGTATATTGCAACAATTAGGTGATAAATCCCAATTATAATGTTATAATTGTAACAAGTATGGCCATTTTAGTTAGGAAAGTAATTCGGCTCCTAAGATAGAGGAAATAAATCATTTTACAATAGCGAGAAGATAAAGAAATTGAATCCACTTTGAAGAATGCGAGAAAAATATTTGGTATCTCGACACTAATGCCAATAACCACATGTGTTGTCAAAAAGAGTTATATACGGATTTGGACAAGACTATCCAAGGATAAGTTACTTTCGATGACTCGTTAAAGATTACAGTTAAAGGTAAAGGTAAACTTATGATTACCTTAAAAAATAAAGATAAGAAGTATATACATGATGTTTATTATGTACCTACTTTAAAAAGCAATGTCACCGACCTTGGTCGGCTCCTAAAAGGGGTATGATATACACTCGAAGGATCACTCTCTCATCATCAATAGAAGTGAGGAATTAATTGCTAAAGTAGATATGAAAAAGAATCATCTTTTTACACTTGATATTCATATAGAAGTGCTAAAGTGCATGAAGTCTGTCATTAAAGAAGAATCATGATTATGGCATTTAAGGTTTGATCATTTTGGATTTATTGACCTAAAGTTATTATCAAGAGCAAAGATGGTGAAGGACTTTTAAAAATTAATCAATCGGATCAATTGTGTGAAGCTCGTATTAAAGGAAAACAACATAGATAAGGTTTTGAAGTTATAAAATCATGGAGAGCTAGAAGGCCTTTGGAGATTATTCACTTAGATATTGCTAGCCCATTTGATATACCTTCACTTGGTGAAAATAGGTATTATCTTATTTTTATTGATGTTTTTAGTAGAAAAAGTTAGGTTTATATTTTTTTAAAAAAAATCAAAAGCTCTTGATAAATTTAAGGAGTTTAAAGCAATGGTAGAAAAAAAAAATGGATAGTATCTAAAAAATACTTAGATCCGATAGAAGAGGCGAGTACATCTCAAAGTTGTTTGAAGGTTTTTACAAAGAAAATGGAATCATTAATCGGTTGACGACCTCATATACGCCATAATAAAACAACATTGCATACGGAAAGAATTGCACGATTCTTAATATAACAAAAAGCATGGTGAAAGAAAAGAACTTATTGAGAACCTTTTGGGCGAAGTCGTTCTATATGATGTTTATTTGCTAAATCGATGGCTAACAAAAAGTGTAAAATTCAAAACATCAAATGAAACATGGAGTGATAGCAAGCTCGTAGTTGGACATCTCAAGATTTTTAGATGCATTACAAATACCCATGTTCCCGACCAAAAAATAAAAAGGTTAAATGACAAAGAAGAGAAGTGTATCCTTACGCCTATGGGAAAAGGAGTAAGAAGTATATATTATACAATCCTTTGACCAAAAAGGTGATCATCTCATAAGGTGTTGAATTTAATACGGTAGATTACCGAAGATGGAGCAAAGAAGATAAAAAAGTTAAAGGACTATTTTTTAACGATGACAATGATGATGACTTCAACAAACAAAATGAGCAAGGTGATGATCGGACTCCTCCATAAAGTCCTATTTCAATAACTCCTAAATCGACACCAACAACATCGTTAGGCGATAGCGATAATAGTAGCAATTCAAGAGGAGCACTTGAACAAAATATGAAGCTTAAATGATATTTATAATTCCACAAAACCTATGCGAGAAAATATTTAATTACTCATTATTTTGTTTAATGGCGAGTGTGATCCATTGACATACGAGGATGCTACTAAAGATGAGAAGTGGGAGAAGCGAGAAGGCCATGAATGAAAAAATTATTACAATTAAAAGAAATGACACATAGAAATTAACTATTTTTTCAAAAGGACACAAGACAATGGGATTCAAGTGGGTGTATAAGACAAAGGTTAATCAAGAAGGAAAAGTAGAAAAATAAAAGGCAAGATTAGTCGCTAAAAGCTATAAAAAGATACAAGAAATTGATTATGAGGAGGTGTTTGCTCAAGTTGTAAGAATTAATACTATTAGGTTTCTCACAGCGATCATAGCATAAAATAAATAAAAGATTTATTAGATGAATATGAAATTAACATTCTTGAATTGATACCTAGAAGAAAAAGTTTATATCGAGTAACCACCAAGATATATTAAAAATGGACAAGAAGATAAAGTCTATCAATCGAAGAAAGCCTTGTATGGATTAAAGCAAGCTTCATGGCTTAAAACACAAGAATAGATGAGTACTTTCAAAAAAATGATTTTGCAAAAAGTCTACATGAGCATGCCTTATACATGAAGCAAAATCAAGATGGTGATATCATGACCATGTGCCTATATGTGGATGATATGATCTTCACGAGAAATAATCCGGGTATGTTCAATTATTTTAAGAAAGCTATGACTAAAGAATTTGAAATGACGAGATATTGGTGAAATGTCATACTTTCTTAGAATCGAGGTAAAACAAATAGAAGACGGAATATTTATGTCATAAAAAAAGGGTATACAAAACAAATCTTGAACAAGTTTCGGAAAGAAGGATTGCAAGCCGGTGGCTACACTAGTAGAATTAAGCATAGATTCGAATGGAAAGTCTATAAACTCGGCACTCGTTTAAGAGTTTGATTGAAAGTTTGAGGTTCTTAACTTTCACATATTCATACATTATTTATGTTGTTGGACTAGTCGGTAGATATATGGAATATGGAGAGGCCAAAATAAGCTCATTTCATTGCAACAAATTTTTTTTTGAGATATGTCAAAGGTATAATAGATCATGGTTTATTTTATACGTATTCTCAAGATTCAAAGTTAATTGTTTACTCGGATAATGATTATGGAGAAGACTTGAATGATTGAAAAAGCACTTCGAATATGCATTTTATATTAGATTAGTAATATTTTTATGGTCATCAAAGAAGCAACAAAAATTACTCTTTTGACATGTGAAGTCGAGTATATAGTCATAGTAGTATGTACGTGTCAAGTAATATGATTGAATAATACTTTGAGCGAGTTATATTATGCACAGAAGGTGCAACTACTATATATATATATATATATATATATATATATATATATATATATATATATCAATTGTAAAAAATCCGAGTTTCACATAGTCAAAGTAAACATATAGACACGAAATATCATTTTATTTTAGAGCAAGTGAAAAACAAAATTATGGAGCCAATTCATTGCGGAATCGAAGATTAATTTGTAGATATTTTTACAAAGCATTTGAAGACCAACGTATTTTACGGACTCAAAGGAAAGTTTGGCATGCGAAGTCGGGTTTGAGGAAGAGTGTTAGAATTCAAACCCTTCTCTAAAATTTTCTCAAGCCATCATGAATTCTTAGCCATTAAGAATTCTTAATTATTAAGTATTTATCAAGTAATATTCGGTGGAGGTGGTTAAAGGAAATGATCAAAGGAGGTGATCAATAGAGGATGTCAAAGGAGGTTATCAAATCGGGTAGTCAAATTTTGTGGTTTCTAATTAACTCTAGATATTCCAATTGAGATGTTAAGTTTGCCTATAAATATGACCCTTATATTTGTAATGTATATATGAAAAATTTGAAAGAATAAGGGAGAAAAAGAGAAAGCAAGAGTGATGTAGTTATATATTAGCATTAGTTAGGAAGAGAGAAATAGAATTAATCTTTTGAGAAAAAATATTTTGTATGACGTTTTTTTTATAATCAATATATATGAGTTTTATTTTGTAAACCTATTAGGTTCCAAGAGAGACCAAATCATAACAATTAGTACATCATATTTCTAGATTTCCATAGTATTAAATTAGATGCAGCAAGAATTTCAGTTACTTAGCCACACAACTGATGTGCAATAAGTCAATGAAATAAGTATTTTTGCATGCTATGAACATACGAGTAAAAGCTATATATGTACTGGTGATCACTAGCTAGCAGGCAAACAATTGTATCTAATAATTTCTAAACCGACTCTATGATAGCTGTAAAAGAAATTTTGTGCAACCAGGCCTGTGTTATTGGGAGATAGGAGCAATTGTAACTGACATTAAAAATCTCCTTAACGTTAAGTCTAGGTTCAAAATCTGCTGTATCAGTAGGTTAGGGACTGCTGTTGCTGACTGGGTGGCTAAATCTAGTTGACTTGTAGATTGGTCTATAAGGCTTTCTAATGAGCTTAGGACTCCACTTGTAAAAGACTTTCCAGCTGGTTGAACGAAACTAGTTTCTTCTGTTGTTCAAAACAGATAGCAGGCAAACATATAGCTGCTATTCTGTGATGCTGCGGTTGAAACAGTGCCATCGATATAAATAGAGGAAATCATTTCTTCACCTCACTCTTGTTTAATTGTTAAAAACGCTACAAAGATGAATTAACAAGATACATACAAGTGTAGCAAAAATATGCGGCGTCAGGTATGGTACGTTTACCAAAAAGCTGGCAATCCCAAATCGGTCTTCATCTGTTAAGGATCACCACCAAGTTTGATAACGTAAGCCTATCATGCTTTGTATCTAGCTACTTAGAGTTGTTCTAGTACAAACTAAATACGCAAAAGTGATGGAGATAGTAGAAAATTATTTAATAACAAGGGACCAAAATATTACAATCTGGTTTGGTATGTTTCTTTAACTTGTACCGGCGTAATGAATTTCCACATATCTCTGTTTCGTGTGTTAGTGCAAGTGCGTGTGTTTTGGGTGTTTCAATTTGTTATAAGACTAGCCAGTACTATAAACCCTGATGAAAAATAAATTCCATCTCGGAAATTTAATTTTTATGGCTCAACAAAAGTCAGGTAGCTACAGCCTTGAAACTTCAAGGATGATTCGAATTGAATTTTGGGCTAGCTATATTTATATGGAACATTGCTTAATAGAAGAGGAAGACAAAAAAAAAAAAAAAAAGGCAATCAAACTGTAGGAACGTAGCATTCCTATCAATTTGATATAAGCAATAAAGTTGCGTATACAGATTATGATTGATTGGTGGATGTGCATGATGGCACTTACCTTGATTGGGTTTACCGTACTTTTGGCTACCTCTACAAGAATTGCTCGGTTTTGCTTCACTATGAGTCGCTGTCGTCGTTGATGTTATACGATCGATTCCCACATGCATGTGTTTCTTAAGTTGAATGTGTGTGTATATATATATCTGTGTGTATGTGCGGGAGAGTCAGAAAGGTTTGATGTCTTTAGCTTTGACATGGAGATTTACTATTCATTCAAAGTCGCAACCTTTATTTCGGATCGGAATCTTCAAACCCTAAAGAGAGTGCAAAAACTTTCTAGGCCACAATTACACATCCGTCCCCACCATCAGGTACACATTTTTCCCGTGCTTCTCTCTCCTCACCCCATCTTGAGAATGATACTCATTCCTACGCCCCAAAACACCGTAACTTTTAATTTTTTACATAATTTTTTTTTAAAATTAATTATTATGTCATAGTAATAAATTATTAATTATTAATTATTATGTTACATTAATATTTTTTATTTATATATAAAATATTATTTTTAATAAATAATTAGTTATCAAATTTAATAATGCATTACATAAAACTAATAGAAAATCTGTGAAAAATATTAAGTTAATTAAAAATTAAATTTAAAGTAATTATAAAAAATAATATACTAATAAAAATATTTTATACTTAAAATTTAGACATGTAGTAAAGTTACTAAAAGAATGAATATTTTTATGTAATAAAAAAATTATTTTGAAATTTTTATATTAAACCTATTTGTATGTATAAAGAAAAAGATATTTAAGAATGTTGATTTTTTGTTAGGAAAAAATAGAAAATCAAAGAAATAATTGATCTTCTTCTCTTTTTTAAATCAGTTATGAGTATTTTAAAATACATATACATATACATACATATACACATATATATATTATTTAAAAATTTTGACAATATGCTTTTTAAGCAAATATAAATAGGAAAGAAAACAATTTTATTATTTTTTTTGGAAGAAAAAGAGTATCTATGTTTTGGTATCACTAAGCCTTAATTATTAAAGCTGACAACTTATTATTATTATTGGGGAAACCTGATTAAATTAGCCCTCAAGAATCAAACTATCTAAATATTCTCAATTGAGTTCCTAATCCCACCTTTTTTTTTCTCAGCAAAGTCTCTAAAGTATTTATAAATTATTAATTAAGTTTTCTGTCCAAACTCTTCAGTAACACTTCATGGAAAACAATATACAATTTGGACAAAATCATTAACAAACAAGGATTGAGGGATTCAATAAAAAATTATTTTAAAACTCTGTAACGTTTGCCTATTTTCTATTTTACGAAAAAGCAGTGTGGCGACTAGCTAGAACCTGTAGTACGGCGCTGCCGTGCTGGGGTGCCAAGTCGGATAACATAGTCGTCTTAATTATGTCTTCAAGATTTTTAATGTTTTTTTTATTTTTTCCATGATTAGTGTATTTTTAAGCTGGTTTGTGAAAAAGAAGTTAAATAATTTTTTATTTCAATTTTTGCATAGTAGCATATATACGATGTCATTAGACATAATCTAAAAAAATGAGTTTCTCTTAACCAAAAGAATCAATGTGCCTCTACCAATAATTCTCGACCTACCAAGAAGACTCAACCTCTGGATTGCCCTTGGATCACCATCGTCCCAATGGCAACCAAGGTTTCTGGCAACCCTATCGAGTGAATGCTCCATCAATGATTGAACTATCCTTTTTTAGACAAGCTTATGGTTAGAGAGAAACAGAAAAAAGAAGTTTAATTATACGGCCAATTGTCAACCAATTGACATAATTGTTTAAGGTATTGTCTAGAAATTTTTCAGAGAGGACAACCCATTAGTCCTCAGTTTCAGCCTTGACATCCATTTCCTTTCTGCACTGGAATCACCATGGCCTCAATCGATTATTATTAAACTATTGGGTAAATCTATCTCCTTTTATTTTTGGTACTTTAAAACTAAATTACTATAGAAATCCAAGGGTTATTTTGATGTCTTGGACTTAGGACATTAGTTTTTTCTAATGAAATTTGACAACAAAAACAACTTTTAAATGATCACTATAAAGAAAACCGTAACTGATTCTTGATCACTACCTCTTAATGAAACCTTAGACCATTAGCTTTAACATATCTAAAGAGGCTATAGACTCGACTCTGGGTTTGAATTTCAAATATTGCAATCTAATACCATGACGAGGATCTTTTGATGGCCTTAGCTTTGGAAATTGGAAAGCCTATCAAAATTGACAAAAATACTATCCTAGCAAACTAGGGTAAGGTTGCAAGGATTCATGTTGAAATTGAATTGAGATGCCCTTCGTAGGTTAGATTAAGTTCGATGGAAAAACCTATAACATAGTCTATGAAGATTTCCATGCTATTTGTTTCTAGTGTGGGAGATATGGCTATAAGGACTCTGAGTGATTTTTACTCAACCACCTCCCATTTCGGTTCATCATTACCGTAGCACAACTAGTAATTAGGATAAACCGAAAAAGAAAACAATGCTACCCAAGGAAACAAGCGGGAATTCAAGATGTAATCATGGCTTTGGATAATGGATGATGGTGGAGAAGAAATTAAAGAGAAATTCAATGCCAAGAAATCTCCCTAAGTGAGGGAAAGTATTTCACTCTACTTCTATTAATAAATTTTCGGCATTAAAAGATTTGGAGTAAAGCAGCTGGATTCATTTCCCCTCGGGCCCACGACCCATACTTTGGGGGATTATCTTTTCAATAAAGAAGCAGGTCGAGATATGGGTGCCCAAACGAAGCCCAAAGGGAAGTCTAAGAAAGCTTGTGCCAAGACCCAAAGAGCAGCCTCAAGTAGTCCGTCGTTCACAGAAGCCCAAACCCAATTTTCAAACCCATGTCCATCCAAGTATCCCATCAACAGACCCAACCCACAAGACCTAAACTACGAGTCATGAGGTCTAAAGAAAATCAGTCCCAGCTATGATAGCCATGGCTGACATTTTTTTGACAGCATTCAGCGCCATGAGTAGCAACGCCCGGTCTAATTCATCCCAACCTCACGGCTTGAGTGAGGTTTCTATCCATGCTAGGCACTGGGTTCCACCCGATACAGGCACTAGTACGCAGTAGCTCCTCTTTCCTCTGCCACTGATGTTGCTACTTAAGAACCTAAATTCATAGATAGTGAGTTTAGCCATGACTCCAGACAATAAAAAATGGATGATGAGACCATCCCTCAAGTGGATATTGAGCTTTCCTATTAGTAATCTCCCTCTTCGTGTATTTATTATTTTTATGATTAAAAAACTAAATATTGGAGCTTGGAAATGTCTAGGAGCTGACAATATTGAGTGCAATATGGAGTTTCTCACTCCCGCCTAAAGAAACTCATTGAAATGCATAAGTTTGATGTACCTGTAATCGTTGAACCTCACATTTCGAGTGCCTTTAAAGGTATCCAAAGCGATTGGTTTTGACAGTGTTGTGAGGGTGTATGCCGTTAGTTTCTCAAAAGGTGTTTGGTGTATGGTTCTACACCGTTAGTTTCTCATAAGGTATTTGGTGTATGTGAAATAGTAATATTATTATTAAAAAAAAAACTAAAAAAGAGGTGAGGGTTTGAACAATGATTTTCACCGTTCCTCCCTCACAAGTTATTATTCACATACTGTAGCTTTTTTTTTTTAAAGTTATTTTTTAATATTTATATTTTTAGTTTACATACATGTTTTACTTTGGTTCCAAAAATTTTAAAATAAAAATTTTAATCTCCTAACCGATACATTACATTTGGCCAACATAAGCTAAGCACCCATCAATGCCTTTCTCTTTTTTTTTTCTTTGGTTTTTTTCCTTTGATTTTTTTTTTATCCACCAATTTATGTTCTTTTTTTTGTTGTATTTAATTGAGTAGTAAAATTTTAAATAATCAATTGTTATTTTTTTCACACAAGCCGACGATTATATAATACATGTGATATATTTTTAGATTTTAGGATAAATATTTATTACTTTTATTGTTTAAAATTGATCTTTTCAATTTATTATAAAAATTTTCATCAAGTTAATTCTTTTTCTTTTTCTTTTTATAATTTTATTTGTTAATAAATATGATTTATTTTTTCTATGTATGGATTCGAATAAGTTTTTTTTTTTTTTTTTATAGCTTAATTCTTATATAATCAAATTTTAAAAATAGAATATATGTATTTTATTTTCTTATTCTTTATATAATCAAATTTTATCAAAATCAATTTTATAGTTTTTATTGCACTCTATTAACTTCAATATATATTTGACTATTTAATTTTTTAAAAAACTATTTTTAATTTATGCAATACATTCTCACCCATTGAGTACGGTCATGATGTATAAGAAATAATAATATTAGAGTTATTGATTTTATTATAGATCAATTGCCATCTATACACACAATTCCAACTATTTGATATTATTATTTTTAATATTTTAAAATTAAAATTTTTAAATAAAATAATTGAAATAATATTTTTTGAGAATCGCTTAATAATTCAAATATAATTTCGTATATTAATATTATTCATTATTTTACAAATATATATATATATATATAAAATCTTCTCTTCGAGTAGAAAAAGCTTCATTTGTTAATTTTTATACAAATTTTTATATTAATTGTTGCTTTATTTCTTTGATGCAATGTTATGAAAAAAAATATTAATATGTTTTTTAAAATTTATATTAAAATTTATTTACTATGGGGTTTTTTTTTATCAAAGAATAAATGCATACGAAAGAACAAATTATGTTTTTTTTTTGTTCAAAATTTATTCAAAATATTTTTTAAAAAATAGGTACAAAATTTTGATTAAATATTATAAAATTAGATAAAATTTTATCTTTTATATTTACTTTAATATATTTTAATTAACCAACAACATAATATATGTTATCAAACTAAAATAAATATGTTTAGTTCGATCGGGAATGCGACGTGAGAATCCAACTAGTCCAAATCTAAGTAGTGTGGGTTTATCAACGGTACATACACTTTTTTAATTTACATCAAGTTGTGGGTTATTGGATATTTACGAAGTCTACTCTTGTTTGCAAGCCTTGGGAAAATTTTTTGGAGGACTTAAAATTTTTTATGATATTGTTACCTCGCTCCGAATGCTTATTGGAGACTTTAATGATTATGCTAGCCATATGGAGACAAAAATGAATCGTTTTTTTCCTAGTAAAAGCACGCAAGTTTTGTGATAATTTGAACTTTTATGAACTAATTGATTAAGAATTCAAAGACACTCTGAATAGACGTATTGCAAAAGAAAACATAAAACTATTTAAACCCCGATGAGACTTGATCTTGCGAGTCTTTGACACCGATTGGCACTTGTTGTTACTAGAGGCTTCTATCCACCATCTTTCTTGAGTATATTCGGATTACAATATGACATTCGTGCAAGTTTATGGCTTCATGCCACCTCATTTTCTAAAACCTTTCCAATTCAAAAAAGCTTAGAGTTTTCACCACGACTTTGAAAAAACTTGTCAAAAATACCTAGATTGATCCTATTGGTTCTTTATATGTTGTTTTAAAGGACATAACTTTCTATTTCTAAATTCAATTAGAACATCTTTAGTTTTCCATTGTAAACGAGAGAACACTTATGAGAATTGATGGTATTCTACGAGCCTTGGCTTCTCGATCTTCATTATTCCTAATAAAACTTGAGGTTGATCTACAAAAAGAGTACTCAACAATTCTCTACGAAGAGGAGTTATCTTAGTTTTTAAAATCATGGGTTCAATGGACTTAATACGGCGATAGGTGTACTCATTTCTTTCATGACATAACCATTGATAGGAGAAACAAAACAAGACCGAGAGGCTTTGCTTGAGGATGCCTATTATGTATATGAATTGACTACTACTCAAGAGAAAGTGATTTCCTTCTTTTATAATTTATTTTGTATTATGAATGATATTACTATTCCCTTCCCCTTTTAGAAAGCCATCCCACACTTTGGTTATAGTTAGATAGAGGACTTGCTATGACCTATTACTAGAGTTTAGGTACTTTCTACCGTTAAATCCATAAAACTTTTAAAAGCTCTTAGTTAGATGGTTTCTAGTCCTTTTTTTTTTGTCAAAATTATTGGCATATTATTGAGGAATCTATATTTTGGATGGCTCATAAAGCTTTTAGTACTTGTTTCTATTCCTCATAAATACTAAAGATTTCGATTGTCTTAATTATAAAAGAACAACACCTAGTGAGTATGAAGCAATTTTGACATATAAGCCTTTATAATGTGAGTTATAAAATTCTTAAAAAAGTATTAGTTTAGAGAACTATATCTTTTATGGATTAAATGATTAGCCCCTAATAAAGTGTATTTATCTCGTGGTCATACGGGTACAAACAATATACTATTAGCCTAGAAATTATTGCATTATATTTAGAGATAAAAAAAAGAGATTGGGTTCCTTTGTAATTAAATTGACCTAGCCAAGGCTTATGAAAAAGTTGATTGGTGGTTTATATGATAAACCCTAATTAAATTTGATTTTCCAACTAAATATATCCACCTTATTATGTCTTGCACTTCAAACTTATCGGTGTCTCTTTTATGGAATGGTATCAAGTTGTTGAGCTTTACCTAAGAGATGGCTTTACCAAGGTGATTATATTTCTCCAATCTATTTTTTATGTGTATGGAGAAACTATCTCCTCTTATGAATACCAAATGATGTATGGAAATTGGTCTAAGTTTCATATGCTTGGTTTAGAAAATTCCCACTTTTTATTTGGTGATGATGTGATATGATTCTCCCATACAGCTCATAAACATTATCGAGTGGTTTTGGATACTATAAAGTAGTTTTGTGCAAGCTTAAAGATGATGGTTAATGAACTTAAAATCCTTGTATACATTTCTATTCACATATGTTGGCGGTACCAAAAGAAGTTAAGTAGACATTTGAATTTGTTATTTACTTCGCATTTACAAAGTTGCTTGGTAGTCCCTCTCTTTGTGATATATAATAAATCCTCTCTCAAACAAATTACTAAAAAGACTCACAATTGTCTAATAGGATAGAATAAGTTGTTGAGCATGGTTGACTAATGTTCTTGTTAGTGTAGTCGTCTAAGATCCAATCTTGATTGGTTGGTTTGAGTTATTATAACATTATATTATTTATTTTATTAATAATAAAAAAGTTTTTTTTTATTAATCTTATTGTTTATATTTATTTATTGAATAGAATTAGATAGAAGTCCATATGATATGCATTTGTGTTAATGATTGATCGAAAGATGTGAGATAAATATTAATACACTTAAATGATATCATTAAATGTCAAAGTCATAGCATTGTCAAGAATGGACATTGACTATATACGATTAGACTTTTGAGTGCAATGCTCATGCTATAAGATAGCTATAGGATATCTCACACCTATTGTCATAGTGATGCCAAAGCAAGCACTTAGCTCATTTATGTTAAAAAATATATCATTGGACTTAACTCGTCATGAAAACCCATTTGGTTTAGTTTATATGAATCTCATACGAGATAAGTATAATCGATCATTTGACTTAAAGTCATCATGGTTATCTTATTAGAGGATTTATGTACTTTGACACTCATTTTGATGGACCTAGTAAAGGTTTGCACGCAGGCGATTCATTGGGTGCACTAGAAATCTAATGGAGATAGGAGGCTAACTAAGATAGAAAATGTCATTCCTAGTATGCTAAAGGAGTTATCACATTGGACTTTGATTAATGTTTACTCGAGGAATCTATGACCATAATAAGAGTACAACAATAGAGCATAGTTGCTTCACTCTAAAAGCTAAGACATTTAGGAATCGAAGAAAACTTATGTGATTGTAATCGAAAAAACTAATAACCAAGTTCAAGATCACACTCGTGATAAATTGACATGAGGATTGAATTGTATGG